ACGAACAATAACACCTAATATAAATGGATAGATTATCTATAGGTATCAAAATAAACATGCCCTAAATAACGGCTGGTATATGACACTAGCTTACGTTATATTAGCACGCGAAATACGAGCACTCATCGATTTTTCCTTGTGTGTCAAAAGAAGCTAGGAGCTACAATAACACCGTAATTCTGACTTGTCATTTTGAATTCAACGACAAAATTTAACCTCACCAATATTGATAGGATCAACGTGTTATTGCAGATCAAGCGGAGAAGTAAAGCAACATTTAGAGTTAGATTCCGTGATATAGCATTTTTTGGAATGGTCAGGATTTCCGCCGTATTACTATAATCTCTACAGTGTTAGCAGCAGGCTATTCGGTCCATAATGTCCACACTGACCCTCCCACCTAGACCCACCCCATCCCTGTATCCACTTAGCCTGCACATCCCTGAACACCGTGGGCAATTTAGCATGGCCAATCCACCTAGCCTACACATATTTGCACTGTGGGGGGAAACCGGAACACCCGCACAAAACCCACGCAGACACGGGGAGAATGTGCAAACTCCACAGACACCCGAGGGTGGAATCGAGCCCGTATCCCCATGAGGCAGCAGTCCTAATCACTGAGCCCCCATACCGCCCCGTTAAATTAAATAGGAATTTAATTGGATTCTAGTTCATCTAGTCCAAAGGTCCGGGTATATATCACCCATTCACAAGGTTGGACTGAGCTGCCTTACCACGTCTGTCGTTGAGTTTTGTTACTTTAAAGACATCGCGTCTTGGGTCATGTCTGGTATCACTGGCACCTCTTGCTGGATTTGTTGCTAACTTTCTTGAAGAGATCATGCGCTATGTTAATCTTAGTGTCATTTGAACAGCTGAGATCGTTATTCACTCTAGTTATAACACACCGACTCTTGGTCAAATTACTTTCCACCGTCGCTTATCGCGGTGATGTATTATCTGTAAAATGCTAGTAAAATTGATCACGTGCCATAAAAATGGAAAAAAAATGACAATTCATGTTAAGGCTTCCAAAACAAAGACAATGTTAATGCAAATTATTGTGCAAAATTAAACAGCTTCGCAAACATGCGGGCCAACGTTTCTTCGCGTTTCCTGGCTATCGGGACAAAATATTCCAAAGTAGTTTACTGTCCTGAATTATACTGAACAACTTGTTCAACCCGTTCAACAACTGTATCAGAAACGTGCCAAAGAATGAACTTGTATCCAAAACATGGGCTATGCTGTTTGGGTTAAATGGTTTGATTTCGGTAAGGAGGATGTGAGTGATAAACAGGATGGTTGGGGGCCCAAGCATCATTGTCTAAATTTGAACATGTTGATCGCTTAGCCTTGGTATGTAGTCAGGTGTGTGAGATAGAAGGCCATCTTCATTTCGAGTGAAATACACTAGGAATAAAAGGAGAAACAATACGAGGAAATGAAGGAAGTCTCCAGGATTTCTGCTCCTGTGTATATGATGAAGTTTGAGATTTTAAGGCAGTTGATCAGCAGCTTGCTGACTTTCTCGCCTGGATCAGTTCCAGAACACTGTGCAATAAAATCCTCCGCTGTAGCTAAGAAGCCTTCTGCTTCCCAAATCGTTACAGGAATAGGCAATATCATCATTGTCCCCAAAATGATCGATAATGTAAGATAATGTTTAAAACTGATGAACAGAAAATGTAGAATAATATTTAACACGGTGTGACATTATGCTTCCTTTAAGGAGATACAGTAGAATGGAAGCTGATGTCCACGATTTGTTTTTCGCTGAATGCATCAGTTTTGAAGTTGTAAGCTTCTGTTGTTTGTACAACACACATTTTAAAAAAAACACAATAAACTTTAGATTGGGCAAATGCTAATTCTCTGAATTCCAAAGAAGCAATTATTTATAACACGATTGGTTCCCAGAAGGACTGATACCGCAACGAAATCGCCTTGATGCAAAGAACAAGTAGAGATTAAAGGGAAAAGATTCGATTCTTTCGGAATTCTAATTTCAACAGCTATTGTAATGTTCCGGTGACGTTTTTACTGCTTTGAAGATTCTATATAAATAAGTTGTTTTTATCAGAGCAGTCAGCTGTAGATAAATAGAAACCGGATATCAAGCTCAGCTGAAATGATACTGTAAAATATTTGAAACCCAAAGACAAACAGCCATGCACACACCACAGACAATGTACTGTAAACAACTATATCTGCAAGCCCCAGGAATGCTATTTACCGACTGAAACAACCAGTTGGTCAAATGCACAGAACAACGGAGTGTGCTGGGGTGCTGAGGGGCATGGCGGGGGCGGGGGGTGGTGTTGGAGGGCTGGGAGGACAGAAATATCTTCCCACTGAATACAATGCGAATTTGAAGTTTTCTGTTATATGGATTGCCGTAGCAGAATCGCGGTGTTTTGATCTGGAAACAGACAATTGCTCGCGAAAGAAGAAAGTGACAGAAAATGGCTTTAGACTAAATGGAACAGTTGTTTTTTTTAAAAAAGTGTAGACTTGCTGGACAGAACGGTCTGTCACTGATGTAATATTCTCCAGATTTACACGATTATGTTGTCTACTGCCAACGAAACAAGTCTTTTGGATGGGAAATTCTGATTAACTGCAAAGTAAGTGGGCGTTCCACTTGCCTGGGGTCAAGTTTGCTGTCACTCGTCTCACTGAAGTTGGGTTTAACAGATCCTACTGTTTAAAGGGTTTAATTAGAAGCCCTTTTTGGTGGCCCACCGATTGCCTAGGTCAAAAACTGAAAGATGTTAATCGAAAGCTAGCATTTAGCCATTCCTTTCAAGAAACCTTCCATAATTGTCCACCCTTTCCTTAACCGTGACGTCAGCCACAAATATACCAATGGCAAAGTTAAACTTGAAATTACAAGTGATAGTGAAACAATTCCTGATTCACAAGTTATTTCGCAAGAAAACAAAAAAAATCTCTGAAATGACGGAGCGGTTATTTATTTATTGCCGATGAATGAAGAACAGTGTGTTCTATTCCCTGTTCCTGGTGTTCAGTCTCCGCGTTGGTTAATTATAAATTACAGTTAATCTGGCAGTTATTGTTCTCCGAAAAATGACGACACAACGTTAGAAGGGAACAGATCCGTTTTGTGTGAAATAGTCTGGAGTTTGAACAGAGCTTTTACACAAAGTTCTTTGTAGGTCTGAATAGATGAAAGAGTCTGAGACAAGGGTTCTTTAATTAATTAATATTGTCAGCAGTTCGATTCGCTTTGAATGCTTTCCTTAGAGTGTGTGAGAGTAAAAAGGTCATGATTAACAATACCCTTCAGGTCCGAAGGGTGTTACCTAAACGCGTGTTTAATGTGTTGAAAAGTCAATTGAATAAAGCGGCCATTACGCAGCTTTCTGTGCTCAGAAATGAAAGGTTGCCCATTGATGTGAGAGATTAGAGAGTGATGCATTTAAAGGTGAGTGAGCCAAATGGTTTTTGGTGTCTTAGTCCAAACAAAATAATTTAAAACGGGGTGAAAATGGCTGTATTGTGAAAGCTGAAATATTCTAGTAGCTGCACACCCTTTCCGTCGAATATATTTACCATCTCTCCACATATTTTCGATATTAGTAATATTTGCATAATTCCAAGTCTCCTTGCAATTGGAAGTGAGATTGAAACGTTGAGATTGTGCATTAAATTATCGTTTAAGAAGAAGAAAATCGGCATATTTGGTGTCCTGTCATACTGGATGAGATTTTCAGGCGCTTATAGGAACCACGCCAATGTTTGCAGTTGTGTTTGCAACAGATTCTGCATTTCCATCCAATTACATTGTTCGCATTCAGACCCTTGATATGTGCTGTCACAATCATGTAATTCAAGAATAAATTTAAGTCTCTGCAATACGTGTTAGGAAATATAGTACGCGGGTTCATACTAAATCCGCTTTAATCAGCCACTAAATTAGGAGGGTAACAGCATAATGGGTGGGACGAGGATGCATGAGCTGGGCAGCTACTATTAACCAGTTCAGCAGCAAAAGTGATATTTATTATAAAGAAATGATCGAAATTTCACAAGACCTTTTATCTATCATAAAATAAGCACTGTACATAACCGAATATTTATATGAATTAGTTGGACAATAAATATCTGAAATGGACAAAAGTTCACGTGTAAAAAGCACAATTTATGAATCATTTTATATCTTACCTACATTTACATTGAAAACACTTACAATACCTAATAAAAAGGAAAATAGGTCATAGAGACTGGAATCCAGATCAAGCCTCGTCATTTTTACACTAAGAAGAAATACAAAAGTATCCTGTACATAAAAAAATCGATAAAATTTCAGAACTTTCAAGGAAAATAGACAAGTAAAGCGCCTAGCGTTTGTTTAGCTTCAGAAGTTGCAGGTTGGAGTATGTATATATTATATGATATATGTATACACACACTCTATGTCAGGCATCCTTTGTGCATCAGTTGCTACAAGAATTTGTTTTCTTCTCGTTTTAAAACTTATAAACATAACAGCTTATATCTGTGCCTCTAAAATGAAAAACAAAATGAAAATAGACGTGGTACAGTGCAAATTTTCGCCACTCTAACAGATTGGCTGCAAGCTATAAAAGCACATTCTCACCCTCATGTCTTATGATGGGAATGAAGGGGTGGGGGGCGGGGTGGGCAAGCGGAGGGAGGGAATGGAATTCCTGAACTGACATTATTTGGTAAACTAATGGACCCTAATGGCAGACTCGAAGTCGTGCAGTTTTGTACACACCCACTAAGTGCCATCGAGCTGCAGGATTTCCACTTTATTGAATATTGTTTCAGATTTAGCCGTGGAAGACAAATCAAAATTGTGCTATAATGACGTTAAAGTAGTCGTCCGTATCTGTGGACTCCAGAATGGTTGATGTTTATGCATATATATTACTCTATTAACACCTGCAAACAAAAGAACCAACTTCTGAGCACCTGACCCTCAGTGGGGTCAATACAACCAGCCATCTTTTAAGCTATTGGGTTTATAAGGACAAATAGTTTTAGCGCCCGTGTGAAATATGCAGCCAGAGTCACGAAGTTTCACAGTTCAGCTTATGTTTGAAGGCGCTCATTTCAAACAATGGTGGGTACCTATTCCAACAGAATTTAGCTCCATTATAACAACAGCAGAACCATGCCCACCCCCTCCCCCACCGCTCGAGTTCAACAGCGACAAGGGTTCACACACTTGCATACAGTACAGCAGATCATACTTGCTTTGAGTCTAGCACAAATAAAAACACAGATGTACCACTGATATAAGACACACATTGATTGTCTCTCAGAACTACATATGGAACCCTTATAAACATTTTCTTTTTAAATAAAGTAGTGCATCTATGACACCAATCGCATAATTCACACAGCCCTGATGGTCCTTTTGTTTTGTTTTTAAAGGCCAACTAAAAAATGGCTAAATTTGGAATGATTACAAATATCGTCCTGTCCATTCCAAAAGTTTAACCGGATGGTTGGCTACAAGAACTGGAATGACGGTAAGTCCTGTGCTCTTCATTCCAAAGATTTAACATTGGAATGATTTGTCCAAATTCAAAGAGAGTCCCAGCACTTCACAAAACTTGGAACTTCCACGAAGACGTTTGATCTTTGTAATCCAAGCAGTCAGTATTAAAGTTGAGTTTCCATGAAGCTGTTTGGTCTTTATAATCCAAGCAATCGGTGGAATTAAAACCTAATCCGCCGGTTGGATAGCCCTGGGCAGAGAGGGAAGCCGGGGACTGATTGAGGTGGCCTGCAGTGACTGCATTAGTGCCCATGGGACTGAGCGCCGTCCCTGGGGCGGGGAGTTGGTGATGCATCGGGGATAGGTACGAGCTGCAGTCCATTCCCCCGAAGTAGGACGTGGATCCGGCGTATCCCTGCGTGTAACCCGAGGCCTGGGTGTAGTTCATGGGGTAGGAGCGCTGCATGCAGGACGAGGACGTGGACAGGCAATCGGGGGCGATCGGAGAAATGGACGCGGGGCTCCAAATCGACACCGGGGCGCTGCTGCTCGATATGACCGTCACCGAGGTGCTGGAGGGTGGTGTGAATTGACCGCTCGCTCCGCTCTCCGAGCTCGGCTCCCGGGCTGGCGAGCTCTTCTTCTTGCTGGGTCGGACTTTATGCTGCCCTCCATTCTGCTGCTGTTGCTGCTGCTGGCGGCACTTAGCTCGACGGTTTTTGAACCAAACCTTTTTTTAAAAAAATAACACCAACACACAGAGGAAAATCAGTTCAACTCTTAACAAAAAAAGCCAAACCTGAAATAGTGCAGTGTAGCGGCTGCTCTCTGTTAGCAAGGTTGATGCAAATCATTTTTATCATTTTAATGTAATATCATATTTTTTAATTTCGTGAAACTCGTATGTTAGACACCCAGCATTGAACTAACCGGTCCCTTCAATTTAAAAACTGTTCTTTTTATGGGTCAACATTATCTAGAACGCTCTTGGTAAGGAAATAATTATAAGGAACTATTTCTGGCCTCTCTTCAGTTTTCCCTCAGCAACCAGAAAACAGCAAAGTGTGTTCTGTTCGTATAAAACTTTGCAGGAAAGTAACATGTTTGACTTGACAGGTCTTAAATCCACTCTTTGTTTGGAAATAATCTCAAAGAATTTACGGCTTTTCGCTCTCAATCCCATTCAGAGAAACACAGAGCCGGGCCCCTGGGCTCGCTGCGGGCCATGAACTAATTTCCCGGCGCTGTCTCTCCCACCCTCTCCCTCTAACATCCTGCCGTCTCATTTGCAGCTCTCTGTCTCTCTCGGGCGAGCGGGATTCGCGCGTTCACACGCTCGGAAGGTCCGGTAATAGTTACTGAGAAGGGGACGTGGGTGCAGTGTGCCGCTCACCTGCACTCTGGACTCGGGCAGGTTAATTTTGAGAGCCACCTCTTCCCTCATGAAGATATCCGGGTAGCGGGTCTTAGCAAAAAGCGCCTCCAGGACGTCCAGCTGCGCCCGGGTAAAAGTGGTTCTCTCTCGCCGCTGCTTCCGCGGAGTAGCTTCAAACAGAAATCAAGCGGATCGGTCAACACATCGGGAATTTCATTGTAAACGCAAAGAAGGGCCCAAACTTTCACCCCGCATTTGGCGTCGAAACGAGTCGAAAACTAAACCCGAGAGTGACATCAGGCAGGACCAGTCAGCTAGGCGCGGTTCCGAACCAGAAAAGTTTCTTTCTTTCTCACACACAGACACACAATACACACACACAAACCTTGGGTGCGGGTTAAGAGGCTGGAATGAGGTCATCTCTGTCGCCCTGAATTCTATTGATAATTCCCATTTAAAAGCAATAAACACACTGAAATAATCCCAATTGGTCGGCACGTTTTCCTGCCTGTGAGTGTCGCGGAAAACTCTGTCAGGTTCTTTAAAAAAAAGTCTGCTTTGAGGCCTTGGTAAAGTATAAGGTTTCAGCAAATACTTACAGGGGTAGCCGACCGAGGGGTGAAGCAGATCCATGCCCGATGTAGTCAGACTCAGGCCGTTCACTGTGTATGGAGGTTGCTTGAGATAAGACATCATGCTAAGGTTGGTTTGAAGAGCAAATCTGTGAGAAACGAGAGAAAAATCCGGAGTCCGTGTCCTTGGGTCCTCGACTGAGTTTGCAGAAAGGCCTCGGTTTAAACCTATTCAGAGTAAGAGAAAAGGTTGATGAGTGGAGTGATCTAGAGGAGATGTTGTATCAACGATCACTGGAAAGTATCTGATTTCTCAACAGATCCCAGCCTGTCTCTTTAAAGCATCCGGGGACCCCCAGCTGTCTTTTGGACCCAGGGATGGTGACCAGATAAATATGTCCCAAAAAACGTGCTACACCCATTCTTAAAGTACGCCTTCCACATAACAAAACCCCAATGCTTGAAATGCACACAGCGCATTGTTAGCGATGCAATTTGCATAGATCCATTCGTTAGCACCAATCTGTTATCACGCTAATTGGCTCAAACAAAACTTGATTGTGGACCATTTGCAGAGACAATGAGTTGCTGGCCCGGGAGGGAGAAAATCGACAAACTACTGATAACAAAGACTTTATGGACAGAGAAAAACAAAGGCTCAATGTTAAAAAAGAGAGGTTCCTGTGTAGGATTTGCAACCGGATGCTAGCGAAGTTTTTCGTTTTATTTTACGTGTTTTACAATGGGAAACAGAGACTGCTTCTGAGATGAGAATACACCTGTTTGAATTGGAAGGCAACATTTAGTGAGATGCAGCACAACGTCTTTTTATCGACTAGGCGAGGTTTCGCGGTACAGAATATCTAGCTTTCTGGTAGTTTGCTCGACGTGAACGAGACAAAGCCAAAAAGAGCTAACAAGTAATTAATTCTCAATCGGGGGGAAAAAGTCGCCGGGAAATCAAAACTATTTGTGCCCAATTGTTTAGCAACTGAATATTTTAAAAAATCCAATATTATCTAATGAAGAGTTTGGTGCCCGGGTTTAAAGAAACTGGGGACAGATTCCTCCGTTGATTGGACAACTTTGCACTTTGCCTTTGGTCTAACATTGTTTACGCGCGGAAGTCATACATTGTCACCTGATCACTTCTCCAAGAAATACTCCATAAATCCCCTGCATCACAACAACAATGAAAATGTTTTACTTGACTTTAAAATAAAAGTGGCGGCACCTGATTTGCGCCTGGCATCTTACTTTCAGGAGACGAGGTTTAGGAAGGGTGAGCACACCTTCAAAATGGCGGAGATGGGGGTTGCGTTGACAAAACTTCTCATTACAAAACAAAAACTAGGCAGTCGACTCATTCAGACGCTGACCTGTTACATATACCAGCCAGCGCTCTACACAGCGTTTATCAGATCCAGCCCGCGTTAAAGGCTGCTTCCGATGTGTAAACACCGCTTTCCCAAAGCTGCAGAACAAGCAACATGACCCTTTGGTGCAGTCTTAGACTTCATCCCGATTAACTCAATGCTGCAACGTTCATTCGTCTATTGCCTGATTGCAACTATTCACCGCGAGAGAAATAAAACACGATCTTTGCCAGTTTGAAGTACAGGCCCTTACCTAAAAAGCAATCTACTCGAACAAAATGGATTGCAAGTTGTAGCCTTCCACTCCCGGCCGATCCCACTGGCCCTACCTGCAAGGCTGAAGCCACAGGGAAATTGCTTCTCTTGCTGACTGGTAGAGAAGTGCAGCCAGTTATATAGAGAGCGGGTCGAGTCTGTCGGCTTCCCAGCACAATCTGTCACTTTTTGAAAGAATCCTATCTACCAGTTGCGCGGCATTCGGTCGATCGTAATTACCCCGCCGAGCATGCGGCCGAGAATTAATTATAATAAATGTTTTCTTGATAAATTAACGAGATAATCCGGGTGGCACACGTTCCTTAATTACAGGACGCTGCAAAAACTGGGATGGCGAAGAACGCTTTCTCCCTCATCCCTGCTGCATTTGTTCTGATTAATTTTCTGCTTGATGGAAATGAAACAAAGCTATAGAGTCGAACTGTGTTTATTAAAAAAAACATCATTAATCTCATATAGGGCCCGGCCCTGCAACTTTGAGACTCGTGGGATTTCGAACAACGGGCATTTACTTTCATATTTGATACAGTATTTGTAACGTGTTAAGGCCGATGCTCTCCTGCCACAGTTTGAAATGAAGCGTGTTTTAACGATGGTGGTAAGTTATTTATTGCAAATTGTACTTAACCCCTCCTCTCGTCACCTCCTAAACTGCACGAATGCAAAATAATGAATAGTTTTAAAATATAATGTTTATTGTAATTACAGTTGTTCGAAAATTTTCGTTTAAATACTTTGTACTTGTCCGCAAGTTTCCAAACTTATTCAGGACATTACAGTTCCACTTTCAATGTACAACCAGGACAAGCTGGTGAGATGTGAGTGACTCTGCGCTCAAATAGAATGAACAGTGGATCTTACTGTTTCTAGCTTTAGATTTTCTTGATGGGCCATACTTTACATTTACAGCGACATGCTCTCCCGCTGGATAAATCTTAAAGGAAACATTTTCAAGACTCTTGCGATGAGATTATGCAATGAGACATTAAAATCTTAATTTGTATTTGCTTGGAGGATAAAGAGAGATCTGAATAATCCAACCGTTTCGACGTTAAATAATATTTCGAAATTTGTTAAAAGGATAAAGCAATTACACGAGTCTGAGAGTCAGGAGAAACTAAATGTCAGTTAGAAAAATCCTCGCCTTAATTTTAAATATTTAAATGTAACATTCGTATGTACATGAAGCTCCAGGCTAATGCTGACCGGTTGTTTAGTTAACATTTCAATTTTGGCAAGTAAAGCTGGGTTTTAGGTTTCAAAGACTGCTTTATAAATCTAGCAAATATCATTATTAATTTTAAAAACATATTCATTTATTTATAAACTTCAGTTCCTTTGATCGAAATATGTTATTGTAGATTCCAATTTTTATTTTGAGAAATAAATGACAAGATCCATTAAACTTTTACTGCACGGATCAAGTGCTTCCGTGGCTGAGTCGAACGCTGGAATTGTTAACGCTATTTTGTAAAATTACTGAAATCGTTAGTTTTTTTTGGCTGGAAAGTTTTTTTGGAAACTCTAATGTTAAGTTTCTTCCTTTTAGCTATCTGAAATTTATATAGATTTTGAACAAACCGCTTCGCATTGAAAAACAAAACAATTCTAGTGTTTTATATTCACGTCTAGAATTTGAGCGGAAAACAGCGTAGGTTTTGTCCAGCGAAGTTTCTTCTGGTTCAGGTTATTGATCCGACTCTCTGCTAGGAAAGCTGTTCGTCAATAATTGGGAAGCGATCGATCTCATTCCAGTTTATTTGAACTGATAAACGAGTGACAAAAAGCATCTGCAGCCCAGCACTCCCCAAATGAGGATGTGATTGCGGGGGCAGATCAACGATATCAGGAAAAGAAATCGAGAGAAATCCACGCCTCCCCAATTATCCCTGTGTTTGAACATTCATGGGGATGAGGGGAATTTGCTGGGATCCAGTAGCAAACCCAACACGCGTGGAAGAAAACTGCTTGCGCTCAATTCGCACAAGACTGGGAAAATTGACAATTTCAATTGAAACTAGCAAACGAGCATATACCACGAAAGGCAAAACGCACGGCAAGACTTTTACTTATTTCTCTGCCATTTCATCCCCATCCAATCCCTCAGAACTTCGGAGTGTATGTTCTTCAAAACACAAAACACGAACCAAGATTTCAGACTAGTCAGAACTGCATTTGGACCAAACAGCACAATCGTGAACAAGCCGAATATACGGAAAGTCTTCTACTGCACGAATAGCAACCTCAAGCGGGGTTCACCCCAGGGTAGGTGCGTTCACGGATTTGATATTCTATAGGAGTCTTGCGCAGAGTTAAACTCAGATTCTCCATCACAGAGGAAGGCTAACGTTTTTTTTAAGAAAAAGAAACTCACCTGTTTTACAGTGCTTAGATCGAAGTAAAACCCCAAACAAATCAGACTTCCCCGATGCTGACGGCCTTTGTCCCTGAAAGCAAATACACAAGAAATAGGTTATAAGTCTCGAAGATTATCGATTGGCAATTTTTTTTTCGTGTATAATTGCTCCAATCTCAGCCAGCCAAGTCGAACGCTGGCTATTTGAAGAAGAAGATGGGTGAACCTATTTAAAGCAGGTGTCTGATGTATGGAAGTGGAAAATGATCGAGATTGCTGAGTTGTGCTGGTCTCTCTCTCTCTCTCCCCTTTCTCTGAGACTTGCTGAGAAAGCGCCTCTCTGGTAACTTTTTGACGCAAACTCCGCAGCCAATAGCAAGGGGAGAATGATTGACACATCTCAGCAGAACCAGAGTGAGAGAAACGCCGCTCCAAAGGAGAGAGAAAACAAAAAAAAACAGGGAGAAGTAAACCCAAAGCAGAAAATGAAGGAAAAGAAAATCAAGCAATGGCAGTGAAAATTCACCAGCACTGAACAGGAGGGAGCGAGAGATAGTGAGAGAGAGTAAAACACATTGAAAATATTCACATTTGTCAGCTAGTATGACGTGGAGACAGGCAAAGACAGCCTTGGATTAAAACAAACATTATTAAATGACAATTCGGGACTAAGTTAAGAAGACAGATGGACAAGCAAGAACCATTTAGAAGGATGTAGAAAAGGCATAAAATCACACCTATCGAGAGAGGGGTGGGAAGCAGGGAGACAGGGAGAATAATTATGAAGGTATTAAGCAGAAGGAGCAATCAAGTTAGTGATTCTGGGTTGAACCAGCAAGCGCAACGAGTATGGATAAGAGTAACCCGGAGTTACACCAGCAAGAATGACACAGCGAGAAGGCATTAAGTAGAATAATTTAGGATAACTGACGCAGGGAATAAAAACAAATCCGGCTACAACTGTCATAGGGCCAGAGAACAGCCAGTGATGAAACAGAGTGTGAAGAATTCATAATTATACAGGGAACTATGCAACAGAAGGTAAGACAACATCATTTAATATCAATGCAAAAGGCAGCCTAGCTCCAAGGACAAGTATCAGAATAAACAGAAATATAATAGTGATCATAATTCAAACGACAATGCAATAAATCAAGGGTTGGTAGGTAGAGATAGATAGATAGATAGATAGATAGATAGATAGAACGCTGCATTAACACCACTCCAATTAAATGAGTTTTATCAGTGCGATTAACCTGTGGCCTAGGAACCAATTTCCGTGCTTTGAAGTAGAAACAACCTTTCT